ACCGAGAGGCTTTGTTTGATTCTGCTGCCGTCACAGAGCAGATTAATGAGCGAAAAAAAGAGTGGAAAGAAGCTCTCACTCCAGCAGCTGCATCCCTATGAGCAGCCCCTTGCACACGCATAGCACCTGGAAGAAAAATGTGCTGGAAGATGGGAGGGCTGCTGTGCAACTGCAACCTGTGGTGATCCAGAGAGATGTCCGAAGGGGCATGGCTGCGGGAGCAGGGCTTTGCATTTGATCACGCACACTTGCACTTTAGCCTACAGAATTTTTGAGGGCTTGCCTAGTCATAGTAGTTGTATATAAAGCACAATTCCTGTAATTTTTAGGGTTTTCTTCCTCCTGCTATTTCTGTCCTCTTTCATTATGGATAAATTAGCATGAAGAAAGCTGTGGGGCTAATTAGTTCCAAGCAGTGTTAATTTCTCTGCTTGGAACTCTTTGTTACCCGGTCAGATTGCTCCATTTTTCCCACTTATATTTTAAAACATCTTCATTCATAGCACCTAATCCTTTATTTCTTCTTTTTCTTTTCTTTTTGATCCTATAGGGAAAACGTAACTCCACATAATTGGGACATAGAAGCCTGCGATGGAAATTACACATGATTGCAAGAAAGGTTTTGCCTTGAATGGAAATGTATTCAACAGAACAGAAGCCATGGCAAGACACATCGAGAGACATACATGAAGGGTGAGTTTAGCAACAAAGTGCAATCGCCATAATACAAAATGTCAGGAACTAACCTACCTAGCTGCTTTCGCCCAGACTTGTGTTGAGCAAGGAATAGCTCTGCAACCTGTACATCAAGCTGGAAACTGCAGTGCTTGTGGGAATAAGACACTTTGCCATCAAAGTCAGGCAGAGTCGTGCAGCTCCACTCTCAGCCAGTGACTTCTCCCTTGTGTCTCATGGCTTCAAGCATGACCATGCAGATGTGCCTTGTAGCTTGGGCTCCCATATATTGGTGGCAACTTGAAGCAAGGCTTGCTCAGTAACTCCAAATATTAAATAGTTTTGGCAGGTGGCAAATGAAACTTTTTCACATGCACTAAAATTTAGCACCAAAGGTCATACTTTTTATTATCAGAAAAATGAACTTACCTCATTTCCTAGGAAGATGGAGTCTGGGCACACTTAGGGACAAGGTCCTTGGCCTCTGTAGAGATGTGAAAAAATACACTGTCATATAGTCAAGAACTGATTAAAAGGTGGTATTGTCACTGCCTGGCCAGTGCCTCATCCAACCATGTTCCCACCTGGATGTGTGGTAACTTCAACTCTTCTGTGATGTGCATTACTCGCACCGCTGAGCCCGCTGCCATCAGCAAGATGCTCCAAACGCTTGCACCATCCCTTCACTCAAGACGTCTGCCGAATGGCAGAATTAGGAAACCCCCCTTTGACTTCCTGGCTGTTATTCTGAGTCTTGGATAACGTTCTTGCCGTTGCCTGTCCCCGCTGACTCTACAGCTATGCCTGAGATGAGTAA